ATGTATATATATGTGTGTGTATGTATGTATATATGTGTATCAGTATTTGCTTGTTTTGTGGTTAATTGTGCACATAATCCATTTGACCCCATCATGAATGGGATTTTTATTCTTTCCTGCAGACAGAGGCAAAAGGATCAATGCGCAGCCTCTGTTTCCTTTGCGTCAGTCTCGTTCATTCAAACTTTGTAAACACGGTTGGGATTTGTAGTGGACATGTGTATGCTGCTCACTATAAAATGTGTTTACTAATATGTGTTTACTAGCCTCATTTCTAGTCAAAATTTCTAGTCAAATCTCTTTACACTTAAAAATACTTGTTTCAAGCAAATTTTCACTTGAAATAAGTATGAAAATCTGCCCATGGAGCAAGTTTTTTTTTTTTCTTATTGCAAGCAAAAAAAAAAAAACTTGCTCGCTCCATGGACAGATTTGTCTGTGGAAATTTTCCTGAAACAAGTGAAAATTGTCTAAAAACAAGTTACTTTTTAGGTGATGAGTCTTATTTCAATTGTGATGAGATTTGTTTTGACTAGAAATAAATATTCTTGGTAAGATTTTGAGTTTTTGCAGTGTACATACACATACATACATACATGCATGTACGTTTTTGACCATGTTGTGACTGTTTGAAGCAGGTTTTCATTCTTGCTGTTGTGGTTTGAGTCATGTTGTGAGTTAGTGCAGCTCACTGTTCAATAAACAGTTGAACTTAACTTTTTTACCTGCCTATCTGTTTGACTGACAGTTTTATTGATCAGTAAGATAACACTGACTTGGCCATAGGCGGCCTTACCTATGTTTCAACCGTTTCAGTTGAAACGGGCCCCGGCCACCAGGGGGCCCCCAACTGACTGACAAAAAAATAAATGCCGCAAGGAAGACACAATAATAAATCACTGCCCGCCATCACCTAACTAGCTAGCTAACATCCCTAACGTTACAAAATGAAACGCACATACCAGAGTGGTGCTGAAAAGCGAAAACTAGCAGACATCAAAAGGAAAGCTGTGAGCAGTCTTCCAAAAGTGACCTCTTTCTTTGGTCCTGCATCTATAACAGATGCACCGACTACAGCAGCAGCTGCAACCCACTCACATAACGCCAGCCAAACAACAAATACGGGAGAAGGTGAAAATAAAGACCTTTCTACTGAAACAGCTGGTGATAATGATGATAATACATTATCGTTTGAAGCACCACATGATGATAGTCCCACAACTGAGACAGGTGAGGGAGATGCCACCACCAGCACTGCAGCCAGGGAGAAAGTCCCACTACCATTCACAGAGACAGACCCAGCATGTTGGCCAGAGCATATTACCAGTGACCAACGGATCGATAATGTTCGGAGAGGTCCCGTTCAGATAGAGGACTTTAACTTCCCACAGAGCCAAACACGCCGCCATTTTACTAATGACAGATATTTCATAAGGATGAAAAATGGAGAAAAAATACGCAGGTCATGGTTAGTGTATTCAGAATCATCAGATTCAGTTTTCTGTTTCTGCTGTACCCTATTTGGCAAGCGAAATCACAGTCTCACTGACGGGGGTTTCAGAATGTGGGAACGACTCACTCTCACACTCCAGGGAGAAATGAGAGAAATCAAATGCACACCGTTCCAACATGGACAGCTGGCGCGAGCTGGAGACGCGCGTAAGAA